CACAAGAATGTGCTATCCACAGTTTTGGAATATCACCTCTCCACTTAAGATATTACAGGTCCTGGTTATGAAAGTCCTGATTACCAGGATGCAAGGCTGGCACACAACAATTTCACTCCCAGTACAGCCAAACACACTGTGATTTTTCCTTATAATTTTTATCATCCAGAGAGAAAGAACTTCTCTTTTTTCCCTGAAATTAACCGTTTGCCTCTGATGAGGAAGTCCAAAGAAGCAAGTTGGCTGCACAGCACTTAGAGGCTGCACAAGGTGAAAGAAGAAAACATGAAGCACTACCTTTTCCTCCAAATGTGCACAGGCACTGCTTATTTTGGGCACAAGTGACTTAGGATTTGAAGATACTTGCTGGCACGTATTTAATTGCCATGCTTTTTAATTACTTCTCCACATGATGGATGAGTTTTTTGTCAAAATGAGGTTACAGTGTTTTACCTTTTCCTCCCATGCTGGGACTATTTGCTCTGTCAATTTGTGTAGCTTATAAAAGCATATGCACAACCTCTGAGCTGGGACCTGGCATCATAAAGCAAAGCCAGTTTTGGCTCCATCCTCTTCGCAGCTAGTGAAAGCTGGGAGTCTTTGGGTGCAGGCTGTGATGGTGCACAGAGTACCCTCTGCCATGATGGGAGGAATCACTGCAGGCATCTCTCCCCAGCCACAAGGCACATGGGGCAACTCCACCTTGAAACTATACAAGGTAATGACATGCCACACCGGGACCCATCTCCCCATCCTTGCATAGCCACCCCATGTGGAGGGTAAGAGGGATGCTGGGCTCATCTCTCCTATGCAAGTGCAGGGAGAGATAAGGGTTCTGGCCCTCTGCTCTTTGGCAGCACCACAAGATAAGCCTACCACCCTTGCCATTTCTGGCATTCCAGCCACACCCTGCGGAGTAGCCCTGGATGTGTACTCAAAGCTGGACTTCTTGACCTCCGCTTTCTTTTCAGGTCTCCTCATCCTCTGCACAAATAACTCCATTCTTTTAACAGCAGTTCATGTAAAATTAAGAATTTCAAGAGAGGGAGGACACTGTTGATACGTACCCAGCGCAAAACATATATGCCAAGCTCAAGAGCCTTAAGCTAGTTGACCCGGGCCAGGTGGAGAGGGAATGAGTGCTATGCCAACACACTGCCCAAATTTGATTTGAGAGAAAAAAGCCTTTAACATGATAACACACACAGGGCACTACCTTCTATTTCCACACAACCAATGTCTCTGCCCAGCTTTGACCAGTGCCCCCACTGGAATGTGCAAGTTTCAGTGTATGGTCAGACTTTAGTCACTCAGCCCTGGAAGAAAAGGGAAAATCGGACACATCCATTTGCTGCTTTCCTTAGTCTGAACTAGACAACCATTTATGGCCTCCCCCAAAGATGGTCTGCTCTCTTGTCCCTGACTTTGCTGCAAATTCCAGCATTATTGTTGCCTCCATTACAACCTCCTGAGTCTGATCTGTTGCCCTCTGAAGCCTGGTGCTGGCTAAGAATGCACCAAACAGCACTGAATGAGGGTTATATGCCAGAGACCCAAAACTCATCAAGTCTCTTAAAGCCAGGACAAGGTATGGAGGCAAGCAGGACTCCTGCAGTAACAACATTGTTTGTTCAGAGCCCTAACCTCTATGGCTCCACAGTATCAATATGGTGAAGACGTCCGACAAAAAAGTGGGACTTTGGTAAAATATCTCCTGTCCTTGCCAATCATTCAAGCATTAATCTCAGTTCCTTTGGAGGGCTCTCCCTGAAGTCCATAGTCATACAATGATGTGCAGGGTATTCCACAGAGGAGGCTCTCTGTGCCTGTGCCCCAGTCCAGGGAATTAAAGCCTGGAGAGGTCAGAAGCTCCAATCACACCAAATGAAGCCATTGCAGGCATCTTAAATTATTAATGTCTTTAAATACTAAGTGCACTCAGGAAACAATTCAGCCTGCAGCACACAGGCTGTGCATCAACAGGGTCCCAAAGGGGTTGCAGAAAAAATTTCACTAAGGATTATGAAGCAGTAATTCTGTTTGCACTGACATATTTGTCCCTCCCATGGACAGAGGATACACATGGTCACGAATCACTGCATTTGTCAGCACAACTCTTCTCTTGCTGTTTCAGTCACTCTTCGTCCCTGGGAGAGACATAGCTGTCCGAACAAACAGCTCCATTTTATTCACATTTGAGAAGGCAATCTTGCAACCCTGGAGAAGACTGACACTTTTCAGTCATATGGCAAGAGCATCATACCTCCACATCTACAATCTGACTTCAGTTCAATTCTGTCACTGCAATTCATTAACACAGCTCTGCTATGCACACTTTGATATTTATCTTTAACCACATCCCTTTAAAACTAACCTTACTGACAACTTACTTCTGTAAGCTTCCATTTTGCTATACATTCACTTTTATCCCCCTATGACTGCGGTAGCTCCTACCTCTGGCTCATCACCATTGGTGCAACTGGCCTGCAGATAACAACTCTGATTTGTATGATGTGTTAACAGTTTGCTGGTTTCATGCAGTTTTAATTTTGTTTCAAGAGGAACTGATGTTGATTTTTGCTCCTGTTTCAACATTTGGCAGAAGCATGAAATTCCCCTTCCCTGTAGGAAACAGGAAGAAAGTTTTAACTTCATCTTTTTAGGATGTACATGTACAAACAACACACTCAAAGCGCAAACTCCTCCTGTTTATCTCCTCCACACCTCAGATCTTCTGTTCTCTTTCTCTGCTTTTCTGGGAATATATTTCTTTCACTTCTGCTCATCTCCCTCCCACACGCATAGGCATGCACTGATTTGTTATTGCTAGGTCACTTGTGATTACAGGTTTGGATATGCTCGTTTATTGCAGGGGTGTCCCTGGCTTGATAGGCTGTTTGCTGTTATGTTATTACAGCGCTTAAGCCTCATTCTTCCAGTTTGCTCTCTTTTACACACACACACAAGCCACCACAACATATTTATTTTGGAATGGCAAACGCAAAAGCTGACTTGGGCTTTGCAAACAATTTGAAAGGGAATAAGGGAAATTATGGGGCCTGTAAATGCCAGCCTCCATGCCCCACCTGGCTTCACTGAGTGTGTGCCATTTTTCTGTGGTTCTGGAATATAAAGCTTCAAGCGCCACAAAAGCTGCATGTCTGTTTGCTTTGCTTGGCTTCAGAAGCCCAGGCACAGCATATTCATCTGGGAAGCTGCTAGCTGGGGTTGAGGAAAACCACTGGTCCCTTTTGGCTATACAGACACTGGCAATAGCTGTTACAAGTTAGATTTAGCTCCCTAGAGCAACAGGCAACAAATGGGAAGAATTGAAAACCTTAAAAACTATAATTGATATATTTACATTTATCAAATATAATAGCAACTCCACCCCCCTGAAACATGTTTCAGGCCCCTTCCAAAAAGAGGAGGGTTTCAAAAGCAAACCTATACCTATCCTCGCAGCAGACAGAATTTCCGTTTTATTTTGGAAAGTCCTGTGTGTACCCCCACTGCATTCCTCCTCTTCCCATCCCACAAAAAAAAAACAAAAAAAGGCAAACTTCTGGGTATAGCTTAAAAGCCACAAAACTTCCTGCATGTGTGTATTCTCCAGCTCCACTGCAGATATTTGGAGTTACATAAAACCGGGCAGTTAGTGATTCTGGCAGCTGAGAAATTACAAAGTTCAGGGTCTGAGGAGGGCGTGGGCCAAGCTGAAGTTTTCCAGAGCGCTGTACCAGATAGATCTGAGGAAAAACACTTCTCTCTCGAGGCTCAGGAAGTGGAGTTAGAAGCTCTGAACCCGAAACAGACATCAGGGAATGTTCTCCTTTCCTGGTTCCCTGTGAACATGGGTATTGGCAGTGCTGGTTATCAAGGATGTTTTGGACCTTAAAAAGAAATGAATGTGCCATCCTGTATGCAGCCATGCAATGCTTTTACAGTGACATGGCAGAGGCTGACATGCTCAAATTACCTATTAGTCAGAGCTGTGTGAGCTCCCTTATGAACCAGCAGTTTCCATTTCCATCTGGATGGTTGATGCATAAGGATGAGATCAAAGTGCATCGTGTAATAAACTGCACTAGCTACCAAAGTTGCTCCAAGTCAGCACATTCACACTAGAAGGTGGTTTTGTGTTAGAACATCTGTTTACTGGGATGATGCTAAATTTAACTGTTACATTTAAAATTTTGTCTGAAAGCAGCTAACTCGTAAGATCTGGACTTAAAACCATCTAGGTGTAGAAGGCAGGAACAGTCACCCTTCTCACCTATTCTGAGTGCCCAACAGCATGTAGTTAGCACATGTTGCAAGACGTTGGAATTTTTCAGTGTAAGTCCCAACTGGGCTTTAAAACATCCTGGGTAGTTGAGCTTAATTTTCTAGCTCTGGCCAGGGTTTAAAAACATGCTTTCAATTGTGACTAGCTGTGATCACACTAAGGACAAAGTAGCCTTTAGCCATGTGTTAGTTAACAAATACTGGAATATTGTATACAGTCTTACTGCTTGCAGTGCAAGAAAGACATTGGCAATCTGAAGTGAAGTCCAGTGGAAGGACCCTAAAATGGTTAGGGGTAGGAGCAGGTAGCATATGAAGAGAGGCTGGGAGAACATAAATTCTTCAGCCTAGAGAATGCTAAGGCAGGAGACTTTGTACAAGAAGACAGAATACTTGTATTTGATTACTTTAATGAAAATGCTGATAAAGAAGCCAAATATAGAGGATTTACAGATTATTTGTCCACTAGGATCTGTAATAACTCACTGCACATGAGTGAAAACCAGCCATTTGATTTTTGATTCTCATCACTATCTGAAATGGAAACAGCCCCCAATGACCTACAGAGGAGACACTACGTATCACAGCACAAACTACTACTAGCAACTGATACACTTAGTATTGTATTAAGGATGGAAATTTGTTTTAAAGACTGAATTTTATGCATTGTGTCATCAGTTCTCAATGAAATAGGCAGGGCAAGGTTGATGCTGTTTACCTACTTATTTTGAACACACAAAAAACAAACTTTTGTAACTCAGTACAGAATCAGTCATCTAACTAAATAAAGTAACTGCTTATGTGCTATGTGGTCTTGGTCAACTCACTCAAAAGCTTACCACTTGAGATTATGGTTCTGCAGCAGTCTAAATTAAACTAACAGTTGGCTTATGCGGTCCAGCTCTAGCTATGCATTCCCATTCCTCCCTTACTCCCAACACGTTGCTTATTACACCATTCACCAAGCTGTTTCCCCTATCTAGGTCACCTAACATTAAGCAATATATCTTTTTTACAAACCAGGATCACAGTAACAGCTAAAGCTATAGATAAGAAGTAAAAAGTAACTCCACTTTCTATTTTATTTTAGACAGCTGCAACTTTCCTCAGGTTTGGGGGTCTTTTTTGGTTTGTTCTCTTTTATTTTTTTTGAGAGGGGACAGGAAAGTTTTGGAAAATTCAATAAAGTGCTTATTCTCATATGCAAAATATAATGTCAACATGCTTTTTCTGTACTGTCAGCTCACATTCCTCAGGAAAAAGATTAAGTGAAAATTAATGAAATCCAGTGAATGCTTGCTGGAAAATGTTTGCTTTATAACGAAAACACAGGCATGCCTTGAGAACACTTAGAATGGAAGGCAGAAAGCATTTCAGGTACTTTTTGTATCTTGAAGAACATTATGCAATTTGTTACTTAGATGTCACTGAACTACATTTAAAAAAAAGGACTAGACACACCAAATAAAGATTATGAAAATGACCCTTTTTTCCCCCTGTAGTACAGCCTGTAGGATCCAGGGTTCTAACCCCAGTAAGACCCTCAGCCTGGCAAGTAACGCTGGGATATGAGGTTGCAAGCTCCAGCTGCCCCAAAGCTCACTCCCTCTGTGCCGGAGCCCCCTTGCACACTACCCTGATCTGCACAAGCCAGTTTTCTTTTTTCTCTGTCTGGGATCTGGCAATGACCTCCTGCAACCTAACTGCTCCCCCCAGCAGCCTTTTCTCCAGGCTCTGTGTTGACCTGGCAAATGCTTCTAGCTGTAAGGAGATTAAAAGAAGGTAAGGAAAAAATGGGGGGGGGGGGGGGAAGGGAAACAAGCCCTGCAGATGAAAGTCTGAGGCAGTGTTTTCCTTTCCAAAGTGCTGCTACGTTCCCATAAGCTTGTGGTTTCCTGCATTCTTCTGGAGGGCTTTTTTTCTTTCTTTCTTTTTTTTTTTTTTTTTTTTTTAAATCCTTCTGGTGATATCTGAAGAGGGAAAATGTCCAGCACTAACAGGAGGCCTTTTGTTCTATTCGTTTCTAAGTGGACTTTAACCCAGTTACTACAGACTGAGTCACTGCAGAAACAAATAAAATAAAAGCTCTCTGTTTGTCCCTCTGGACAGGTCAGGGACATGTTAAGTTCTGTTCTCCCTCTCCTGCTTTCTGGAAGCAGTACTAGACCTAGTATTAAATTGCAATAATAATGAACATAGTTTATGGCTGTTCTTTTTTATATGTCCTGGCAACCCCTACAGAGTTGATATTCCAATAGAGACAGCATTTCATTAAAAAAATAAATGCACAAGGGGCGTTTCTTTGGGTAATGAGATGAAATTAAACTGGAGAAAGGCTGGCTACCAGGGACCAGTAAGATGTGGGTAAGTGTGACCCATATAGGTGCATGTCTGAGCTATTTTGGTACCTTCTCAGATATCAAATATTTTAATGACTCACAGAAAACAGTTTGTCTCTGAATATGACCTTAAGATTCCCTTGATCTCAGGCTGAATTTTAGGCTGAATCTGAGGGTTGAATTTTGGTCATTTCTTGCAGCTCTGTTTGCTATGACAAGCTATAACTTGTCACCATACATCAATTTTAGGGTAAATAATATCTATTTAGACCCCAAACATCTAAATTAAACTGGATCTAAAATAAAAGCATCCTATGCATAGGCCTGTAGTTCCCTGGGGCTTACTGATCTCTGGAGGCTCTGGAAAGTCTGTGCACAAGAGGGTTGCTCCTCCTCTTCCCCCCCCCCCCCCCCCTTCTCTCAGCAGTCCAACTTCTCTGAAAACCCTTTTAACTCCCCCCTTCTCTCAGCAGTCCAACTTCTCTGAAAACCCTTTTAACTCTTTAGTGCTCCCTTATTTCTGAGCTGCCTGTTTTGACTGGGCTTAGCACCATGCCAGGCCTCCTGCTGCTCCCTCTTCTTTCTCCTATTTCCTAGCAAAATTAGCACATATTCCCACACCTGCTCTGAGCCGTGTGGGAAGACTGAGCTGCTGAGGTTTGCTGGAGAACAGAAGTACTTTGTCTGTGCCACCTTCTCCTAGTTCAGTTTCTTCTGCCAGTCTTGGTATTCCTCAACAACAAAACAGTCTAGAAACAGCTGGTTGACCCCTTTTGCTCTTCCAGAACATCTAAGAGTAAAGGGCTTGCACAGCAATTGAAAAGTGAATACAAACTGTTACTCTGTTGATTTCTTAACACTCTGTATTCTGTCTGCAGCAGCCTCTCAGTCCATACAAGCTGCAGCATGAGTTACAAAAAAGCACATCAACTAGTCAGCAAAGGCTCTGTGATCTTGGTGCTACCTAGTATCGTTATTCTTGCCTACCCTTTCCTTATGGCAACAGCCATAAGAGACCAAAATACGGTGTGGGTTTAGCATAATTTGGGAGCGTAGATGGCTGCATTACTCTTTCCTGGTTATAGTAGCAGCAAGGGACATACAAACAGCCTCTTCCCTTACCTTGTTCCTTGTTATTACAGTATCGGGGTTTCACTGGGATGGTCCTCACATCACTTGGGCCAATAGAAAAAATGAAAAAGAAATTCCACCCCAACTAGAGATCTAGTTTCAGAGCCTGTCAAGAGCAAGTAAAGCTGCAAAACATTCTAAAGTTCAGATGTCAGATTCTTTAGGACAGTTTCCAAGCAAATTTATGTTCCTTTTTTGTCTGAATCCAGTTTTAACAGAAATTAGACTAGTGAACATGGTGAGAAGTTTGTGATCAGCAGAAGCAAAACATCTGTTTTTTTTACCAGAGACAACCGAACTCCAGATGTTGTCAACATCATATAATTCTAAAAGTGCCAATTTCTTTGCGGGTTGCCCTGAGAAAGGTCATGTCACTGAACTCTTGGTGACTGAATGGCTTTTGCACTGGAAAATCCAATCCCAGATGTGCAGTGTATGATGGAGTTTGTTGCAATTACTTTGCTATCAGATTAGGCAGAGGGGAAAAAGAGATCACAAGGAGATATTCTGCTTCATGAGAGCAAGCTGGTCTTACAGATCCTGCGTGAGTTGTGCTCATGCTCATTCCTCTTGAAACCCACTGAACATGTTTGCTGTTGCAGGATGCTGCCTGAAGCTGTTGAGATAATCCAGTACCTTTACCTCAGCCTGGTCAGTTTATAGGAATGGCACTCATCAGTATAGACACAGTTTATAGATCAGAATCAGTGCCAACACTGACTTTATGTTCTTCTAGAGGACATCATACAAATTTCTCTGGAAGACATCATGCTCATGAGAGAAGTACTTATTTAAGTTCATGCTAGAGCATTCCATGCCAGCAAACAGTGTAGACAGAAGGAAAACATTTACATCTCCTTTCAGCACAGACTTCTTTCTCAGTTTGGACAGAAACAACTGGGCTCCTTACCTCCAATACCAATTCTTTTGCCTCTTAACCTTTGAGTCCCTGACACCAATAAAATGCTGACCATGAGTTTTAGAAACACTATAATGCTCATGTCACGTATCATCTATTTCCCTTCTGTTTCACATGTAGAGTCTGTAGGCTGTGTTTGTGCACGTAACAAGAGGCAGGGGAAATAGATGACACATGATCTGACGGATACAGTGAGACTACGTGCATCTGCATAGGGGCATAATGGCATGGCACAAACAACTGCAGTGTGTTTGCATGACAAGGAGGCACATGACTGTGCATACCACTGGGCAGCTCTGTGAAGATGTCAGTGGAACTGATTTTCTGTGGCAAAAGTTGTTTTCCCTGTCAGAATTTGTTTGGTTTTGGGTTTTTTTTTTTGGTCACAACTCTACTATTACTTTACAACATGAAAGGATTCTCAGTGAAATCTGTTTTTTTGATAATGTAGATACTAGGAAAGCTCAAGAATTTACTGTGCACCATCTGATGTGGAGTCAAAGTGTGCAGTAGTGATATGCAGTACACATTAGATACTAAATTGGTGAGAAAATGGGTTTAAGCAATAGAATAATGTAACTTGCATCCATTTGCCATTCAAGAAGGGATGCACAAAAGACTCCGTCACTTAATTCAGTAGGGTGATCAGTGGGTCTGCCTGGCAACGCACTTATTGACAAAAGGGCACACTATGGCTTTAAAGCTTGCTGGAGTGAAGCAGGCTTAAGTATGAGTGTGCATATGAATTGTTCTGCTTTATAAGTTGAAAGTTGCTCTTTCTGATATACTCCACCCTCCAGTAACTCTTTGCTCAGAAATTAACCTAATAAACACACAAACGGAGCTTCCCTGTCTCATTGATATCACCAACATCTGTTTTCTGCTTATTTGGACCAAACACAGAACTTCAGTTACTTTTATACTTTCATAACTACTCAAGTCAGTTTACGATGAGTCTTACACCAGGCTGCACCGCCTACATTTAGTACATGGTACAGTGAGGTACGAAGTCTAAAAGGTTTTTGTGTTAATAAACAAATGTTAAAAAAATCCAGAAAGCAATTTGAGCAGAGGGCTGAATTTCTTCGAAGACCTTTGACAGTAGATTCATTGGCTTCCAGCTGATCAGACAGGCTTTCAACTTCTTGCTGGCTTTATTCTCGTGTGATCTGAAGGCATTTGGATAGTGCGTTTTAAACCAATCGGTTGTTTTCTCAGAGTCTACATAGGAGTCGGGGGAGAAAGGGGAGTATCTTTCTTGCTAATGTTAGCCAGACAATGGCAGCTTAACTGTAAAGCCCCCTAAAAGAGAATAAGCCTATTGTGTCCCCAGTGTGTTTCCCACATTTCAAAGGCCTCTAAGTAGGACCAGCATCTTTGCCTCTGGGTTACTGAGAAGACAGAGCCTTATGCTTATTAAATGACGGCTTTCCCTAATGATTTGAAACAAAAAAGGCACATACGTACAAAGCCAGAGATGTGCACATTTAAGGCTTCTCCTGCCACAAGGTCAAACACATGAAAAGGCACAACAAAAAGTTTGGCCCCAAGATAGCAGAGTAGACTCACTTGCCCTTCTCTCCCACACTGGCCCTTACTAGCTTTTCTACTGCGAGAGCCTCGATTCCTGCACAATTAAGCGCGGCACCAATGGCATTTCTGCTGCGGCTCCTTCCACTTGGCTTCACTGCTGAGAAAGGAGCTTGTTCGGCGGGGAGGCGGGCACTGCTGCCTGAATAGTCTCTGAAGCATTCATTATCTCCCGCCTAATTACATGGCCGGCATACTGTTGTTGTGGGAACATTGCATCACATTAATCAGCAAGGGGATGTGCCAAGATGAAAGGGGCCCCTTGTGAATGCTCTCTGCTGTGGAAAATGGGCAGGGGGGTGGGGGAGGGAGCGGGGTATTTATCAAGTGTCGAGGGAGGGAAGGCACAGCGGGTGCACCCGAGTGCAGCCCGGCCAAGCCGCCATCTTCCCAGGCAGTGCTCTTGTAGCAAACGCACTTTTCAGTGTTCAGGCATGCTGATGGACTGACAGCTCTAGCGTCTGAAACCCTTTACCACAGCACAGGTATGAGCAAGAGCAGTGAGGCAAAACACCACCCAGCTGCTTCTCCATAGCCTAACCTGCCCTCAGCCCTCTCTGATCAGAACTGGGACCACCTCTTTGAACAGGCTGGGGTTTAGCTGCAACCTGGACACGAGGCTTCACAGAAAGTCACTGTCCCTCAAAACACTCTCCAAACATGCTCTCCTACAACAGCCTCTGAGTCAGATGTTGAACAGTAGCTGTAATGGACCTCCTGGATCAAAGTAAATCTAGTATCCAAAAGCATAAGTTTAATTTCCCAAAGCCTGCTAAGAGAGAATCCCAGTTCACCCACACCGTACAGTTTTTAAATGGACTCTTGAAATCTGAGAAGAGATCTCATTTCCTCCTATCGTTGTCCCAGTTGCAGGGTATTTGAAAGGCTTTGTAAGGCTTTGCATAGATGCTTTCTGTGTGTTAGAGTTGGGAGGAGGGTTGAGGCATCTACACTCTGGCTGTTTGGCACCCTGCAAAATACTGGGTCAGACTGGAATATCAAATGCCAGTCCTTGGCTGAGATGCTTATTGCTGTGAGATGCAATAGCAGACCTGAAGAGAGAATGAGGAAAGGTAATAGTAAAATGAAAACATTACAGATGCAGTTCTCTGTATCGGTTAGGCTCTCCCAATCACTTTTGATTCAATAAATCCAGATCAGGCCCCTTTAAAACCCTCCAGGGACTGGCAGCAGCTCATGCTCAACTCTCTTCCCATTTCTGTGCATCAGTTTTCCTGCACTTGAGCTGTGCTGCTGGTTCACTTCACTGAAGTGTCTTGCCTCTGAACCTCACTGGTTTTGCAATGCTTGTGGCTTCTTAATGCAGCCTATTAAAGCCATTTTGAAAGCAGATTTACTGAAATCAGATAAGTTTATCTGCCACAAAGTAGGTGTGAATGCCAGTTCCTCCTGCAGTGATTGGTACCAAGTACTCCCACTGGCATCCCATGCTATTCTGTGGGCAATTGGGGCAGCCTGCTTGTTTGTGTGCCACCTGTTGTGCTGGAGTCACCCTGACCCATGCCACCTCTCTATTCAAATACTATAGCGGAGTCAGGTGGTATTCTTTGGGTTTCAGCACATAGGGAGCATTACTTTTGCTTATGTGACACTGGATGGTTCTATACAAAGAGATTTGAGTTCATTGCCCTCTGGTGAGAGGAGTATATACAACAGGGCCTATCAACATTTTCTTTTTTGGTGGTGGGAGACCAAATGGGATGTGCCAATGTTTCAAGTGGCATCCAAACTGAGGAAGCACAAGCTTCCAGTTAACCTTGCTGAATATGACATAAACTAAGTGCATGGAGGAGGAGGAAACATTTAATACAAGCTTAACTCCAGATACCATCTCTTCATGCTGCCTTGAATACAGGCCCCTTGGTGCTTGATTGACCTTTCTCTCAAACCACCAGGAACAACAGTGGTGTTCTACCCCTCTCCATCCCAACAGAGGCCCAGGAGTTCCACAAGATGGAGAACACTTTGCCTGGCCCACACTCACTAAAGACTGGGAAAAGCTCATGGGAATGGAATACAAACCCAAAGACCCATGGGTTTATGCCTAGTAGTATTAAGGTTACTGTCTGTAACTAGCTGTGGTTTTCATCTCACATTTGCCCAACAAAAGGGAGGTACTAACCTTGTATGACTGCAATATATCCTGTGTTAAAACTGGCCAGTTTACATTGGAGGAAAAAAGCTTGAGAGATAACATAGTGAAAAAACTCCTCTGTCGCTAATCTACCAGATTGATAAAAAGCTAGAAGCATGAGGAAGACATTCTATAGCATGATACAGGGGAGATAATGACAGGGAAATGTGTCAGACTTTCTAATTATTGCTAATGAGGTTAATCTAAGGGCAGCTAATCCTGTGGGAGAACATGGTAGCTCTGTGATCAAGGCCTTTTCTGAAATACAGGAGGTTTTTTGCAGCCCTCAGTCCCTAATGCCTCTTCCCTTCTGGGTCATTCACTGCCCCCCAGAACAGAAATGTCTCCTTTTCTCACAGAGCCACCCCAGCAGAGTGCAGTCAGACATTTCTACCCCCCAAAAAGGCAGTGGCTTATCTGCTGGCAACCTGCATCCCAAGCAAAGGGCAAGTTTGCCTCCTGCTTGCACTAGGTCCTCACCACAGAGGCACAAGCTTGCATTGCACACTGCAGTTTGTTTTGGAAAGTACATTTTGAATTGTGTTTTACCACCACTGCCAGTTATTCCATGACTTGAGCTTCATTTTGGCTTGTAAGTCAAGTCGCTGGGAGGACCAAACACATATGTGACAAATGAAAAGCTCTAGGGAAAAGCCTAGAGTAGAACCCAGTTCAGTTCCCATCTCCTCTTTATCATGTGCCCCTCCCACTGCCAAAGTTATGGTGGCTATGCAAGACACTCCTGCAGCAACCTTTTTCTAGTAAACACTGTGCAATTCATAGTTTTGGGAATATTACTTTGAAACCCTTTCTTTTTTTTTTCCTCAGAGACAGCAGAGATGTGATGGTACAAAACAATAATGGGAATTTCTTGGTTTTGTGTAGAATTTCATTGCTCCTAAAGAGGAAAAACATTGCAAAGATTCCTCCTCCCAGTAGAAGGAAGGAAAATGGGGCAAGTGGCTCAACCCAAAGGCCTTCAGCCCTGAAATGGAAGTATCTCCAAAGGTCTGTGTACTGCTGAGGCACATCTGCAAAGCCCATAACAAATCCCAAGCACAGACAGGTTCTGTTTCACAGTTTCACCCTCACTCTTCATGTGACAGCTTTCTTTAAAATCCCACAGTATCTCTTTCTCACTTGGAAATACCATCTCTTGTTTTCTTTTCTCCTTGTCTTGGTCTCTGCTTTCCAAAGGACTCTTGAGAACCTCTTTTCCCCCTTGTCCCTACTCTTCTGTTAACCCTGCTTTACATGTGCTATTATGAAAAATAAAATAGAACTTGAACTGCAAGAAGAAAGGACTCAAGCCATTTGACAGCACCTGCAGCATTCGTGCCTCTCTCTCACTGGTGCCAAAGGTGAGAGGAATTTTAGTAATTCAATTGACAGATAAGATATGGAAGGTTACTGGATTTAGTATTTGGCTGTACCACGTTTCTGAAATAAGGTGCAGCTAAAAGAATTGCTAAAGGTCACATGATATATTTTCGGTAAATGAAATAACTTTTTCTGAAGTGATATGCTCATTCCAGGTGCAGTTACCACATTTTTAACTCTTTACTGTAAGTCCTCCTTTAAAGGAAACTCTCATGCAAAAGCTCAGTGACAATTTTTAAGTAAGTCATTTCCCACCCTCCACAGCCCCACACTAACACCAACAGGGCTCACAGGGAAATCCCAACAGGCAGACTGTTATTCAGTCCATTTCTGCATTTCTAAGGCTCATCGACCTTTCTTTTGTCAGATAAAAGCTCCCCATCTCTTTAAGCCCTTCATTCTTGCAATAGTCCCACAGAAAAGTTGACATCCTTGGCAAGGAGAGTGAAAAGCAGCTTGTCCACCCTTCCCAATAGGCAAGGCTGGGGTTGTTTTAGCCTGTTTAAATCTCTCCCCTATTTATATGCTAATGTTCTGGTATCAGCAGAAAAGTATAAACAGTGTTGTTTACAGCTCTCTATAGTCTCTGAGCACCAAGCTGCCAGAAGAATACTGTGTACTGGGCAAAGAGATGTATTTATTGACAATAAAAATGGCCACTTCTAAGACTATAAGAAACAAAACTGAACTGTAGAAATGCAGTGTCAGACAACAATATAACCATACAAAACAGGGCTGGCAAAAAGCCATTAGCCAGGGGGTCAGTCATGGGCCCTGGGGAGTGACAAGGTTTTGTATTTAACAGGGAGAGATCTGGGGAGACCTTCAGCACAGAGACCTCTGAGAAAAGCGAGCATCAAGTTCCTTGGCAAGGCAGCTTACATGCTCCATTTGCTATTATTGCAGATTTTTGTTAGTGAATAATGGTTCATAGCTTGGCTCTTAGCTCTCCTGGATCAGAAAATGAATTAAACTCTCCTAAGAAAAACAGCACAGTCTAACGGAGCAAGCACAGGAATTCATGAGTTCAGATCTCTGCTCTCCATCTTGTTATGTGACTCTCTTCACCAGTAAAGCATTAGGTTTTAAAAATAACAGTAACAGCAAGACCAGGCAGCAGTGAGGATGTTCATCAAAGATGTTTGTGCAATGTCAAGCTCTCTGAAGACATCAGGGCACAGAGCCCTAGTCTCTGTCTTCTTTACATAAGTCAACAAAATGTTGACAACTGCAATGGCACTCCCTGTTCAAAACGGGAAATACCTGCTCACATCAGTAATGCGTTATCTTCCAGTAAATAAATACTGAAAAACCTTAAAGAATCCCTGTCTACCAATAGTGCCTACTGTATGCACTTCTCTCACAAATGCAGGTACTGACAAAAGATGCTGGACTGGCTGACCAGTATGGTTTTCTACTCAAAGACAGAAAAAGGTTGGGACAATTAAAGTTTAACTGATACTCTCCTACTGTATATATGTTTCAGTTCTCATTATGTGAGATTCATCACTCTACTTCCATGATGGAAAATACAGGGGACTTCAGTGGGGGCTGAACCCTCTTGTGAGTCCAGGCCACCCAGGCCAGCTGAGCCACATCTGGTGCCTGCACTGACAATACTGCACTCTGCTCTCTGGAGTGGGACTCCATTGGCCAGACAACCAGTCCAGCTTGTCCTCAGTGATCCAAAGCCACATCACACCCATCAGTACGGCTGCACTCTTGCTTGACAGTCTCAGACAAGATGCCAAGAAAGGACTGAGTCTTTCCCTAGCCCTCACAGCCCTGCAAAACCAGTGCAGAAGCACCTGGGTAGGACAATGTGAACTGGCTTGGCTGTTACTGGAGAACTATACATATACTGTAAATAAAAGGAACTAATTGTCCTGGGTTCAGCAGTAGCAGTCATGTTTCTCCTTCTTGGTAGCTGGTGCGGTGCAGTGCAGTGTTTTGACTTTCGACCTGGGAACAGAGCTGATAACAATGATGTTTTGGTTTGGCCAAGGACTTTGTGAGCCTCATGCTCTGCCAGGGAGGAGGGGAAGCCAGGAGGAAGCAGAGACAGGACACCTGACCCAAACTGACCAAAGAGGTATTCCATACCACAGCACGTCATGCCCAGGAGGTAACTGGGAGTGAGCCGGAAGGGCTGGGAGTCTGCAGGGTTGGAGGAGGTATTGGTCGGTGCTTGGTCGGGCTGGGAGGGGAGCAAGTTATCAGTCGGTTGGTGGTGAGATGTTGTATTCTCTTCCCTTGTTATTTCCTTTATCATTGTTATTATTGGTAGTAGCAGTAGTGATTTGTGTTATACCTTAGTTACTAAACTGTTCTTATCTCAACCCGTGGGAGTTGCATTCTTTTCGATTCCCCTCTCTGTCCCTCCGGGAGTAGGGGGAGGGAAAGAAGGGGGAGAGTGAGTGAACGAGCTGTCTGACTGGGTTTAAACCACGACAGTTCTTTGAGAGTGAGTGAACAAGTTACCTGACTGGGTTTAAACCACGACACTAATCTACACAGCAACTTTATATCAGCACTAAATTCATGAAAGGGTAAAATGCCCAGAAGACCACTTGCAATAACATTGTGCTTTGTCAGAGCAGCACAGTCACGAAAAGAGTTTGAGGTGGTGAACAATGAGAGCATTATATTGGCAAAGATGTGCTTTTCTTCCAGTGGTAATTCAATTGCTAAGTGCATCAAGAGGCTTTACCCTTTGCTGCAGTAACTAGACATAGGCCTGCATGAAAATCCCACATTTGGCTGTGGCACACTGGCTAAGACTACTCTGTCTCCCTCTAGTAGCGTGTTCCCAAAGAAGGAAACAGCTTATTTTTGCTACTACAGTACGTCTGAGATCAAGTAGTAGTGGTCTGGTGGTGCCATGCCAAATTTTCCAACGGAGAAAGTTTCTCTGCCTCCTGAGTTAAACTAACCTGCATGTGGTCTTGCACTTATTATTTACATCATCTTTTTAAGAAACTTAATCTAGCCAGTTTTGAGCTCTAAATTTTTGCTTTACAGTGTAAAAGGGTTAAGTCTACCCAGGCTGCACCACGTTCCCTGCACACATTACACCACATATTTTGTGGGATTACAAGTGCTTATCAGCAGTACAAATAAACCAGCCCAGTGATTTTATTCTACTCAAGACTGTCTGAAACTTGTTCCTTTCTAATAACTGTCAGCTAAACCACTAAGCCAGGTGGGGATGATGCTTGTTGGAGCCGTTCTGAACTCTAGCAGCAGTTACTAAATCTCCTTCCATTACTTATTATTAATTACTATTTGTTAAGCACCAGCAGTAAGAGACAAATAAGAGAGACTCTGTAGCAAAGAGTTAACCTTTAAGCACAAGGCATATTGATTAAGACCACACCATGAACAGTGAGACATATGTTGAATCTGAAGCCAGGAGCTAGGATTCTATTGTTTGTATGTATCTGTAAGAGAATGAAAAGACAAATTTTTTTAAGGGTAGGTGGGTGTTTTGGTCAAAGAAAAAGCCAGCACAACTAAAACTAC